GGGGGGGGGGTCGGCGAACCCGGAACCGGGATCATATATGCTCAAAGAGCTGAGCCCCAACACTGCATGCAAATCCCATCCCAAGATCCTTCGAGCAGTAAAGAAACCCCAAACCCTGCTCCATGGCCTATCGCTGCCACGGACAAAATCACGATGAGGCTCCACACCCAACTTTGCATGTGCAGGTTAGCCAAGCACATGGCCGTGTCCATTGGCAAGGCTTGGAAGTTTGCCTTGCACCGGTGAGGGAAGAAGCTCGGAGCCACCCGAAACCATTTTTACAACCCCTATCAGTCTTCAAAGCCTTGCAAAACCCTGAAAGCGGTGACAAACCCTAAAGGCCCTGAAGCACGCAATGGTCTTTCTGGTGCAGGCTGCCGGCCTAGGTCACCAAAGCCCGCACGAAGCGGCCCTGACGGCTGCTGCCTCCGTTCACAAGGCAATGATCGAGAAGGCAGGAGGAGGCTGATGATGAGGCTTTTAGGGCTCAGGGTAATAGTATGGTCTTCCAACGTTGGGGTCGTGCTCCACATGCCCAGGGCGTGACGGAAGAGGAGGCTGTTGAATTTGCCTCGTTTTGCTCCGGGCTGGCGGCTTCCGAGGACAGGGCCTGCTTTGCAACGGCTCTCTGCACGAATACATAGGCTGCCTGCCAAGTTGCCCGAACGCAAGTGTATTGATCCTACTTGCAGGCTGCCATGGTGCAAGGGACGACGCCGGAAGTTGCTGCCTCCATTGCCTTGACCTCAACTCAACAGTTTGACGATTCACCGCAAAATGAATGATTGCGCCAAAGCAAATCTTCCTACTGGTAGCGATGCGAAAGGACACAGGTCAGACTTTCGCAGAACGATACCTCTACCAGGCTGCCACTGAAGCTCAAAGGGCCGCAACGGCTGGCCTCTGAGTGAGTGGATGCCTGCAGTTCTGCAGCGTAGCTCAGAATGCATCCCTTCCATACGAAGGGCAGAGTGAGTCAGGTTGCCGGCTGCCCCACCGACTTGTCTCTTCAGTGTGGAGCCCTGGCCATCGGCGCAGTGGTCGCCAAGCTGGCAGCCGGTGCCCAAGCCTCCAAGGAAAGCTGCAGGGATTCGTGCTTAAGGTCAGGCCGACAGCTCGACTCGATCCTTTCTCTCGATCCCGATGCGCTCGCGCTATCTTCTCTGCGCATAGTTGAAGCAGTGCAACCGTCCTAGGCACAAAGGGGCTGGAATCACAGCGATGCAGCAACTATGGCTGGGCAATTCCTCAAAAGATTCGTCGTCACTCGGCCTGAACAAAGTGATCCGCTCATATACGTGTATCGGATTCCGCTTTGGTGCGCTTCTGTGCGTGTGTATGATGCAACTACTCACATGCAGTGAGTAGCCAAGTAGCCAATCAAGTCACGTGACACAAAGGAGCGCAACGCACGAGTGCTGCGATGCCCAGGATGCAAACACCATTGCAAGCGACCACTTCGTCGCAATGACAGCGATGGCGACACACGAGGCCGAGAAAAATCGCAGCATCAAGCAGTCCCGGAGAACCACCACACCATACAAATGTGGCAAGAAAATCCCTCATCACCTGACCCAGTACTCGCAGGCTGCAGAAGCCGTGGCCCTCGCCAACGGCTTTGCGCCCCGGCGTGCAGCAGAGATTGGCGCTGAAGAGGCGCCGAGCAAATCCTGCAAGACGGTTTCGTTATCTTGTCAGACATTTACCAAAACAACCTGTTGGGTATTTCAGCCCACTGGTGTGGCGATGCTCTGGGCTTGTGAACCGGGGAAGGACCAGAGGCGGCTGAGCCAAGGTTTGGTATGTCAAGTCGGTTCAAGTTGGGCCAAGCTTGGGAAAGTAGAAGCGTGGCAACTTTGCTGCCAGGCTTCGAGGATGACCTCGCAGCTCATACAGGCTAAAATCCGTGGCGTCGCCGACAATGCACTGCGAAACTTGAGCGCAGGCTTGGGCCTGAAATGTTGGTGTGACACGATTTCGCCCAGATTGGCAGGAACTGATGCCACCAGCACCTCCGAGGCGTCGTCGATGTCCAAAGCATCCTTGCCGCACACAGGGTCGAGGATTGCGCAACAATCCCTCGCATGGACGTTACTGGTAGCAGGTAGGAGAGTGTGTAGCAAACATGCTAATCGCATCCAATCACGTGGCATCTGAGCGCGCATGTTATGTTTGGCACTTAGGCGGTCTCGGGCTTCTCTGCAATTCAAGCTCGCCCATCAGATCGAGAGCCAGATGGAACTCCACGGCAAGGCAGTTGGTCTGGCCGACAGCATGGGCTTCCATGCGGCATTCGGCATTTCTGAGAGTAGCTGCATGGGCACGAAGCCTGATGGCTGCAGGCAGCGCCGGCACACAGGCTCAGAATGCCTCCAAGCCTGGCTTGACGGAGCTCAGCAGGCACAGTGTGCCACAGCTTCTGCAACGGTGTACTCATGCTTTGCACAGGAAGCCCCTGCCTGTCAGTGCCCGCCGAGCAGAAGGGGATGCCGCACTGCCGGCAGCATCGCCCCGACAGGCCTGGAACCCTTTATCACGACATCATAGTTTCCAGGAATTCTAAGCACTGTACTCGTTCGCCTGTCAGACCGAGACACACATAGAGACTAGACTAGAGTCGGAAGACGAGCCTGCCAGGCTAATCAATCGGTACGGCAATTTGCACATCCATGCGAACGTTTGGCGCATTGCTCGTGTGGGCTCAGATCCCACGCCAGGATCGAGATGCAGCACGACCCAGCTGGTGATATCGCCCACAGGGCCACAGTTCCTAAAAACTTTCGCGACTACCCTGCAAGCAGCCGGCCTTTGAGGGGTCCGGCAGCTGCAGTAGCAAGTTTCGTTGAAGCAAACGAAATGCATCGTGGGATCTGCGAAGGAATGTTAGACGAGTCTGCGCCATACCCCTTGGAGTCAAGAACGCCTGAGTCCGGAAGAAACAGCGGAGCCGAGTCGAGAACAAAAGTCCACTATGACATCAATGGTCCTAATTCTGCTGGTATTGGTAGAGTAATTATTGATAAATACTGTAAACAAAGTCGCTAGACTGACCATAGCAGCAGTTTGAACAGCAATGGTAACCAATCATGCTATTTATTACAACAGGAATGAGCGCAACAATGGCTGTTGGTGATCTATTGATGAGGGTGCACGGCACCTGGCTCGCTTGTTTCACGCGATGTGCCAGCAGGATAGGTCGCCGAGACACCGTTGTAGTTCGATAGATCCTATAAGCAGTGCAAGCCCCATAAACCATACACCCGAAACCTCGAATTTCTCTGAGCATGCTGGCGGACATCGCCATCAGCTTCTTTGCAAACAAACACGATTGGTATAAACATCAGCAGGATTGGTCTTCCATTGTAAGCCCGATGCACTTGCAGTCCAACGTCCAATGTACCACACGGCCCGTCGTTGTCTCGTGGGCCCCGACGTTTGTCGAACACTTGATGTTGCAGTGGCAGTGCTTAACATAAACAGGTTCAAAGCACACAGTAGGATGGGATCACGCAACACCCCTTTTCAACCGGTGTGGGGTGTATGGATGTGCATGGCCGTCCATCCTGCCCTCGGTTCTGCCGTACAAAACTAGTTAACTAGTACACTTAGTACACGACCGAGATTCCAGATTGCCAGGTGGCTCTACGGGAACCACTTTGCCGGAACATCAATTGACGATCGTAAGTTGCAAAAGAAGTATCCGAACGTCTTAACTCTAAGCCCGTCTCCCTAAACAGCACGCAATAGGTTTTCCACAAATCTCTCAGTCCGTAACCTTTTATAACATTATTCATTATTCAGCCTTGCAGAATTTTGCGATGCACTCAGCCGTTTTAAGCATTACATTTAATCTTGTCTGTTCCGGAGTCAGCCCTCGTTCTGTTCCTGACTGTGCCGCCGCTGCTCCCGACCCCGCCTCCTGCTCATCCTGCCTCCTGTTCCCTCTCCGTTCCTGACTGTCTCCTGCTTGTTCTCGACTCTTGCGGCTGACTCGCCTCCCATCCGAAGCCAGCCAACACCGTGATTTGACCCGGGTGAAACCAGGCCGGGACACAAACCGTCAAGCTAAGCTCAGCAATTCACTCAGGACACTCACAAGTTGCCGTTAAAAGCGCAGGGACGTCATGACTTGGTCCTGTTCCCTCTCGCCCAAGCTCGCGGCCAAAATTCCAAAGCTGAGCCCACCGTCATGATTTCCACTAGAATCTCCTGACATCGCACATGCACAGTCACTAGCATCACTTCCCTTCGCGGCTCACAAGCTGTCGTGTCCTTCAGCTCTGACCGCTTAGAAAGAAATGGTTTGGAATCTGAAGTCAATTTGAACCGCCGCCGTGAAGCAGCCCGCCTCGCTCACAGGAGCAGCACCTGCAGCAGCCGCAGAAGAGGCCACAAAGGATGTCGATTGCCGATTTGACGCTTCCGGCCTCTTTGCAGCAACAGCAAGAAAACGCGCTATGTTTCTACGCCTTTGTGACTCAGCGTTTTAGCACATCACCTGCCGCAAATGTTGCTTAACCAAGGCCTTGCCTTCTGCTCGCCGGATGTCCCAGGCAGGATCTGACAAAGTTGTTGTTTGATGCTGGAGCGTTTGACACTCCTGACATAGCTGCTGACAAGTCGGATTGCCAGGCACCGACGGCCGCTGAGTCGCCACGGCCTGAACACAAGGTTAATGTCGGTTTCTCTCACAAGGCGGTCAGCCGTCTAGCTCACCAGGCAGCATAGCGTAGCTTCGGAATACTCTAGCATCAAGGTACAGCTTGGATCCTATACTACCTATACTGACTTGCTGTTCGGCCCAAGGACCGCGTCCGTGACGTCAGTGGTGCCCAATGAACAGTATCCGGAGACTTCCCGGATCCTCTCATATGGGCAACATGATGCGAGGCCGGCGCATGCGTAGGGCGAGCAGTGAACTCCTATAACACCCACCAGAAGCTGCCGCTTCTAAAAGAGATTAAATTTATTGTTTCTAATTGGGCTATCATGATGTCTCGGCGTTCCCTTCGGACGCATACCGCCAGGAAAAGAGATCACTCGCGGAGCCCGTCTCCGGCAACTCGGCATTGACAGACACTCTGCGTTGCTCCTTCCAAGCACTGCTTACAAGTAGAAGTGCTTTCATCGGTATTGTGTAAACTGAGAGCAGTCGGCTAAGCAGTCACAGCACGTGCTCACCGGGCAGTGCAGGATGTGCAGCCCGTCGAATCAGGCAGCTCGGCTCAGCTTACATAAAATGCTGGCCTTAGACTTCCCGTGTCTTGCCAGCTGCAGGCACAGCGCGAAGAGCCTCTGCGCGGTTGCTGCAGGATCGGGACGCGGACTAGATGCCAGGGCCATCGTAACAAGACTAAGTATTTCGCAACAGTATCGGCTGACCAGCCTGATGCTGCTGGCCAGGAGTTCCGCAGGCCGTCGATGCTCTCGATGCAGGCCCGCCACATGTAGAATGCGAAGCAAGTAGTCAAGGCACGGATAAGACATGATAAGACCGATCGGAAACGCAGTGAGGCCCAGGCACCTCGACTACGCTGCAGACTGTGCTCTTGTAAGTCTCCACAGTGGAGAAGGGGTCCTTAGTAGCTGCACGCCAAAGATCCACGAGGGCCAGGAGGCGGAGAAAAAGGAGCACTGCGAGTAAGTCAAAAAATATATCGCATGTTGTATTGCAGGTGGTTCTGTTCCCCTGTTGCACTTATGGGGTCCATGGATGCTGCTCCGCCAAAGCCTCGCGCGCACCATGCGCAACCCGGAAAACGTACAACCACTGTTGCCCCTATCGGGACTTTGGCTTTGGGGTGTACTGTGCTGACATGCCTGGCGGGTTGCGGAAAGATTTGCCCCGCGGGTCTTCGCCGGTTGAAGTGGCTGACAATCTGTTAGTTACGGGAATTATCTACCAGACCACATCTCAGAGATCCTCGTGATTGTTTCGTGTGTGTATGTCACGGCCGAAAGAATTTGCTCTTCCCTCTCTTGTTTCCATATTTCGCTGTCGGATCCAGCCCTTTCCAAACCGCGGAGGGTTGTAACAGAACAGAGTCTTGCTGAGCCCTGCATGCCAGTCCTTCGAAGTCCCTCTACCGACACCGTCCCGGGATCTCCCTGTGGGTCCGGTGCACAGCAACCGCCCCAAGTTGTCAGGGCCCCGGTCGGTGAAGTGGACTTATGGGTCCTTGATTGTCTTCGCGGGCTTGAGATACCGGATTTGGGTCACTTTGCTGGAATACCTTGGATCTGCGGGTGGCGTCTGCGAGTCTGTTTGCAGCTGTGGCTCCGCACAGCAAACTCAAGGTTCCTCTTTTCGACCTTGCAGACATCTTGAGGTCGAGGGAGAGAGCTATATTCGAACAGAAGGTGACAGGTGAACTTCACTCAACAGTAGTAGCTATTTGGCTAGTCCCGCTGTTGATGGAATACCACGCGGTGTGGCTCATATACGACCACGGTAGGGGAATGTCCATGCGTCATGTCAGATATCAGGAGAGGGAATCGGTTCGTTGCAGTGGTTGGCAGAATCGACGGCGGCTTCATGACTTGGTTCCTGCAGCTTTGGGGGCAAATCATGCTTCCTGCAATGTGCTCTTGTGCGAAAGCCTTCCGTGTTACGGGGTCCTAGAGGATCACGCAGGCCGCAGACCTTCAGAAGGAAGATGCGTCTTGTAAGACCGAAAACAAAGCTGCCTGAAGCTGGAGCCGAGGCAGGGTTGGCAGCGGATACAAAAGCAGGACGAGGCCACGGTGGTGTGTGTCTTTGTTCTGGATTTGTTGGTGGCTTGACTTTGTGGGTCTGGGGCTGTGTACGCCCACGGCTTCGGGTTCTGGACCGCAGGTGCTCAGGATAAGTGGAACACCAGTTTATGATTTTGGAGTCGCTATCATGCTATGTGATCAGCAACACATTCACGAAACCGCGAGCATGCACAGGGCTGCATGCCACGGGCTGTGGGCACGTCTGCTGATGTTGCAAATCCTAGTATGTAGCTAGCTGCTTGTAGCTAGCTTCGTCTATGCATGTACCCTTCGACCTTCCTATCTGCACATCTACGAATAGATCCGTCTGGGGCTTTGTCTGCAGGAGTCTACGCTGTGCATGCATTTGTGAGCCGTGCAACTATGGCGCATTGCGCGGTATGCGCAGGGGCATGCAGACTGGCATGCATGCATGCCATTGCATACCTACACAGAACCTCAAGTCAAGTCGTGGTTCGCTCTTTTCGAATCAGAGGCTTGCAGGATTACCCTCTCGACGAAGGCATTTCTAGAACCGGCAACTCTTAGCATGACCTACACGGATCGGATGCAGCGCCATGGCCATGGCTTCGTCCAATGCTACTATAGACCGTATTCCTGCTTGTATGGAAATCTCGCGAGATAATGCTCAGCTAATTTATTCCCATGGTAGTCTAGCATCTACAGTACTCCGATGGCTCTTGATTGACCTTCCCACGAGCTTGTCACTACTGATGCCGACTTGAGGATGGAGACGAAGCATTGCTGTGTTCAACATGCTCTGATGATAGTCCAAACTGCATTGGGCCGAAGTCTAGGAGCACTATGTGAGTAGCATTCCGATGCACTGCAGTTCATGCTGATGCCGCCATTCAAAAGAAGAGCATCGCAGGTTTCCTAGAGTTGGCAGAATGCGAAATCAAGTCACTGAAAGGCCAGTCCAGAGCGTGGACGTCGCAACTCCGCGGCGAGGCCAGCTGAGCTTCAATCGGGGATGACCGGTATCGGTATCACACAGATCAGCTGTCGACTTCCGTATGGCTATGAAGTTTAGAAAGCACTGGCAAGCGACCCCTGCCAGATCGCCTCATGATGACGCCTCCCTCTCCAGCCCTGAGCGGCCCAGCGATCCACGCAGCGATCCTGTTAGCCCACGAGCCTGGCCCCTGGCGGAGCGAGAGGCTAGTACCTTGCAGAGAGAGACTTAGCTGTCGCGAAACCCGTTGGCACAGTGCCCTCAGGAGGCGGATCCAGCGCCTCAAGACAGTTCTCCGAGGCTGGTTTTCAGGTTGCTGCGCCCGCGATTCTTCGAGAACTCGGTTGCCGTCGGAGATGCTTGAACGAGTGCTTGAACGTTGGCGTTTCCACTTGCAGCTTTCTGCCGCAGCGCAGGCCAGCCCTGGAAGAATTGCTACGGCCAAAGCCGCCGAGCTTCCCCATCCAGGCAGTCTTTACAGGCAGTAATTTAGCAGTGGGCGGAGGCGTGGAAGGGCCGTCACGCTTTTCGTTCGAAGTCGTAGGATACGGCAGCAAAAGTTGCACGCAGAAGGTCTGGACATGCCATGAGTCAAATCAGCATGCGAGGCGATGCCACCAGAGGACAAGCGAAGGGGCGCACGAGACCCTCGAGACAGGCTCAAAAGTTGTATTAAACCGAGAAAGCAAGGCAAGCATGGGCTTTAGGAGATCTTGAGAGACATTGCAATGTAACAGGAAGCTTCACTCCAGCGCCGGATCGGGATCGAGACTGCCTGGCACAAGTCCTTTCTGCGCGGCGGTTGACCGTTGCCAGGCCAACTCCGCGACTGCGTGGTGGGCCCGAAAGAGCCGAGAAGGTGGAACAAGGGCAAGCAGAGTCAGCAACTGCTGTTACGATGATTCTCAATGATCATCATCGCAATGACTAGACTAGATCTGGTGTTGTCACTTACCACCAATAGTGATAGCTTTCTCAAGTACTGCTGCTGATCGATGTTACTATGACTCTTGCTATTACTGTTGTCTCTTGTTCATCTGCACTGCCATGGTGATTACGGATACTATATCAGTCTGAGAGGATCAGTCAATGTCAAGAGTTGCTTTGCCAGGTCCACCCCCCACGTGAGGGGGAGAAAGCTCAGACGTTCCTCCAGGCCATTCTGCCTTGGTTGCGAGCATGTTCACCGGAACTAGTCTTGGGCCTGGGCTCTACTTCCGACTGTGAAATTCAGTATAATATCATCTGATATGACGGGACAGAATAGAAAATCTGAATATAATGCAACATGACATAGTGTCATGGTATAATGTAGTAGAATGCCAGAGATCTATTGTGGTCTAGCTTGGCCCCTGAAGGCCTTGGAGATGGCCAAGGCCCAGAAGCAGAGGGAGGGCGCCATGGCGAAGCCGCCGAAGCGTGAGGTCGCGAGCGTGGGCTTTAGGATTTGGGCTCGGGAATGCTGGCATAGACACATTGCTGCTATATACCATAGCGCATAGACTGCAACTCTGCCTCCGCCCTCGAATGCTCCTGCCGTCAGGAACGAAGCAGGCAGGGCCTCGACGTATGGACTGTGTGGAGCATGCGGCTTGCAAGCATTGCCGTTGTGATACTACGCCTCAAGAATCTCAGAGCTTCTTTGGTTTCTTCAGCTTCTCTGTGCATCGTTTGTTTTTTTGGCTGAAGACAGGCCAGCAAACATTGCTGCAGAGCTTCGCCGGGCTCTTGGTATGATGCACATTGAGAATGGCCGTTAGTCATGATGACCCGCAGTAGTTCTTGAGCGACAGTGTCGACAAGACTTGCACGACGTAGCACGATGGTTTACGAAGTTTGAAGTGTTAAAGCTGCACCTCCAGGTGTTGCTGCGATTCGCTCCAGTCAGCCTCAGGAGCCACATCTTTCGTGAGAGCTGCCGCTACAGTTCGACTTGGAAGCAGTGAAATCTGAGTCTGGTTGTGTTCGTGCACTCGAAGTCCGTTCGGCCCCGAACGTGCCACTGTCGATTGCGGCAGTCAGAAATCGAGGCTGTTTAGAGACAAGCAAAAAACAACGCGTCTGAAGGCAAAGCTGCAACTTCTTGCAATATCACTCTTGGAGTTCTCAGAAGTTTATCCATGCGAATCATGCTCACTGGCTTGTTCAGCCGGTCATGCGGGTTGCTTTTGTGCTGGATTCGTGCAGGAGACGAGCCCATCGAAAAGCCGCAGGAGAGCCTCACTTCTGCACCTGATTCAGCCAGAGGCCGATTCCAGTGAAAGCCCGCTCCAAAGCCGTTCGCATTCTATAGTGGTGTCGTCGATTTCGCGCAGTGGGCATGCCGTGGGTATAGCCACTAGGGACGCCTTTTCGGAATCCGCAGCTGCAAGCCATTGCAAGCTAGTGCACGATCGGCCTGTTCTGTGGCCAGTCCAAGAAAGCGGACCCGTTTGCCCCGGACGTCAACGCGCTCTATGTTGGAGCAGGGCAGCCGCGGCAGCAAGCGCTCGGGACCCCGGTTCAGCATTCAGTGCGCAATACAACTAAAGAGGATCAGGCACTGGGACTTGTGTAACAGGAGAAGCATGAAGAAGCACAATGAGCACGCAGAGTTGTTTCAAGAATGCCTGCAAGCCTGCCGGGTGCCGCCAGATGCGTTCGCCTGGCTTTCGCGCTGGACGGGATGATGTTGTTTGTTTGTTTGATTGATTGTTTGTTTGTTTGTTGAATTGCCCGCAGACAAACAAACCACACATCCACTACACAGGTGCGTAGAGCTGTTTCCTGTCCAGGTCACCGCCTGGGTCGGAGGCCGGGCGCCCCATGAAATCACTTGCCACCTCGTTTCAGATGCCCCTGTACCGGATCAGGATTCTGCTGAAAGTCGGGACCAGGTAGAAGTTCACTCGACTTCGGCCTCACGTATCGTCTGCAACTGCAGCCCGCCCTCCTGTCGCAGGCAGCCTCGCGGGTAGCATCGAAGGCGAATATGTCGCCGAGCCGAGCCGAGCCCTTTCTGATACTTTTCGTCTCTTCCTTGAGAGCTGTGAAGCCTCCCTGGAGCTGATTCTTTTCTTCCGAGGTGCGACCTGATGCTGATGAAGTACGGCCCCAAGGAAGCAAGACGTCGTGACTTGCCACTACTGCACTTCCTGACGTGTGAGCCACTGCAATCAACCCAGCGGCCATTGAATGGGCCTTAGTATGCGAGTGAACTGGCAACAAGCTTCTTCGAACCAGCCAAGCTACCGGACACTGCAGTTGATACAATTAGATGATACCTTGCCTGTTTAGGCGCATGGCACGGCACATAGACCCCCACACACACACACACACACACCAAAACCCCATTTCTCAGTCATTTTTCCCAACTACTTTTCCAAAAGCATACGACTTCATCCCCCACACCCCCGAATCACCAAATATTTTCTCAACGAGCTTACCATCAATTTTCCACCACTATTCCAACCTTTCAGGCCTCATTTTCGCATTTTCAACCAGCCAACCGCTTGCTCCCAAAGCGTCCAAATCTTCACCATCCCATTTTTCAACGAGCACACCAACAGCCCTCGCCCCCGATGCACTCCCACGTGACAGGACTTCAGTTTCTGTGCTATCGAGTGACAGCGGGGAAGCACGACATCAGCCTGGTCAGGAGAACGCATTACTTGGGCGAACTTGCCCCTTTGAAGTCAAGTATGGCATGTTGCTGCTAGAGGCAGTTCCAGTTTCTCGACTGCGATGGACTCGTACTAGTTGTGACCCCCGAGGCACGAGCGCCGTTTGGCGGAGTTTCCCCTTCCACTTCCATCCACCGAGATCCAAGAGGCAAGTGAACGATAGCGTTCCAGACAACAGCAGGATTTGTCGTGTGCACAAGCTTTACCCCAATTGACATTCCAAGTGTTCCGTGCCATACAAGCTGCAGGTCCTGAAGCAGTCGAGTGAACCCGACATGTGCCGGTGGTCTCGGCTTGCTGTGATGTGGAAGTGGCAATGCTTCATACTATCTGCTCAATCTTCGTCATCCTTGTGCGTAGTTGGCGCCAGCAGCATCAGCATGGTCAGGGTTGGGGCCCAGTTTCGTTTGCAAACGTATTTGCTCAGTTTGATGGCTGCTGCAGTTGAGGAGCGAGCCAAGAATATCAGCATCACCAGCATACTATCATCTCATATCACCACTGTCAGTAATTAGCTTCGCGGCTTCGCTGCGGTCATTCTCTTCATCACCATCGCCGCTACTGGCATCAGCTACTGCCAGTGCTGCTGCCGTGGTGGTTGCTGTTGCGGCCGCTGCTGGTGTTGCTGCTGTCGTTGTCGCCGACTGCAGCGCTGGCACTGCTCTTGTTGTGGTGGTCGTGGTGGCCGTGGTTGCCATCTTGCTGAAGGTTCAGGTGATTGTTCCAGAGGTCCAGCAGAAGCCGCATCAGCGGCGGTCCTCCTCCTCCTCCTCCGCCTCCTCCTAGTCTAACTGTCGGTACTGCTTTGGCGACTTCTACTGCTTCTTTTGCAACGACGGAGGCTGCTGCTGCTAATAACGCTGGTGCCCTCAGAAGCTGCTGCGACTGCGGCTCACTACTTATTATCTTTATTGTTCTCTACGTACTACATACCACCTACTCCTTACTCCCTGCTCCTTACTACTACTACTACTACTACTACTACTACTACTGCTACTACTCCTCCTCCTGCTGCTGCTGCTGCTGCTACTACTACTACTACTGCTACTACTCCTCCTCCTCCTGCTGCTGCTGCTGCTACTACTACTACTACCACCACTACTACTACTACTACTACTACTACTACTAGTACTACCACTACGGAGGGCCATTTTTTGGGGGAATTCATGTTTTGCGCCTGTGGTTGTGTGTTTTTGCTTGGGGGGGGTCTCGTTCTCTTTTGTGGTTCTGCGCTTCTTCACTTCAGAGCACGAGCGGTCATTGTCTGCTTCCGCGCTTTTGCTTTTCCGTTTCTCGGACTTCTGTCTATGTTTGCTTGTCGTGTTCTGCTTGGTGTTGCTTCTGCTGTTGCTTTTCTGCTTTTCTGCTTCTCTGCTTGTCCGCTGCTCTGCCTTAACGCTTTGCTCTCGTGCTTTTCCGCTTTGCAGTTGTGTGTTTTCTGCTTGTTCTTGCTTGTGCTCTTTTAAAATTCTACTACCACTATAGTAATAATACGGATAGTAGCAACAACTGTTTTAAGACAAAAACAACAGCAACAACTGCCACAACCATAAACTCGACAAGTACAACTACAAAATACATACACATCTGCAGAATTATATGTATATGTATATACACATCGTGTATGTGTACATATATATATATATGTAGTCTGTATATAGAATATAGAGTCTATATAGTATATAGTTATATAGTATATAATGTGTATACATGTATATAATATAGATAGAGCATGTTATATTTGTGGTGTATATAGTATATGTTGTCTATATAGTAAAAGTCGTATATGCAGTGTAGGTGTGTGTATATATATATATAGTATATACAGAATGTATAGTATATGTATATAGTGTTTATACTACATATGTATATATATATATATCTCTCTCTCTCTCTCTCTCTCTCTGTGTACAGTTTATGGTTGTCGAAGGAATGCGTCAGCGTGGCCACGACGGACCATGCAGTATTCAGTGCTGGTCCATAAAGGAGGGCCTAATTTTGTCGCCATTATTTGTTTTGCATCTTTATTTCGCTTGCTTGGTATGAATATTAGTATGCATCGTATATCAATATTCAGATAATATTAATGCAGTACTACTATTAATATTGAAAGTAATGTATATATATATATGAAATATTTTTGCGCATTAACATTAATAACCGTATTAATATAAATAGTAAGTTCATACTCCTATCATTATATTAAAGTTGGTATATTGATATATTAGCATTAGTATTAATTGGGTACTGCCCCATACAGTAACAGTCTATAATAGGACTACTATTAAGGGCCTTATATATCCATGCTATGAATAGTACTCAACTGTTACTGAATCGGGGCAGTATCCGAAGCATTAATATTAGTACTAAAACTAATATTAACATGAATATAGATACTAGTTTATCATTTATAGACTTCCCCCCTTACACTGCTCCAGGGGACGAAATGCTTACCCCCAAGCACTGGCGACTGCATGCTGGTGGATCCAGGACCAGGCTAAAATGCTTTGCCCCAAATAATGGTGGATTTACGGGCCCAAAAAACCAAAGGCGGGTGGTATTCAGAAGCACAAAAAATGTATTCTATTTCCCCAAGTACTGCTGCGATTGCATGCAGGGTTTCCCAAACACTGTCGGCCAGGCATTGTAATTTACAATGACTTCGGCGCACAGGGGGCACGGGGGCACATTGATCTTGTGCAACTGCCACGAACATGCCCCAGCAAGAAGCTTGTCCCCAGAAGTAGCTTGCCGACTCGCGCCCCCGGTAACCACCGATCTCTGTATGTTCGACGGAAGCCCCAACTACCGATGGGGTTCAGCAAGATTAGAGACCGGGGCTACAATGCTTTCCACCTGCTACTGCCTACTGTCACAACTTGCGGATCCCGGACTGTGCTCGCAGCAACCACTACTCTCTGCACTCCTGACGCAATCCGCTCGCACTGATGGGCCAACATGATCTTCCACAAGTACTGCCGGATCCCGAAGCACAACCGACCTGCTCTCACCCGAGTAAAACCTGGCGGTTCCAAAAGCAGGGCAAAGCGCTGTCCCCCTTAATACTAGCATCCCAAAGCCGTGCCCGGCGCTTCACAGACTTCACAGGTGCTGGACAGTGCTGGATCCCCTCCCGCACCACAAAAAAAGCGCAGACGCAAATAATTGCATTCCACAAAAATTATGCAGCCAGCAGTCTACTACTACTACTACTACTACTACTACTACTACTATTACTGCTACTACTACTACTACTACTACTGCTACTACTACTGCGACGACGACGACTACTACTACTGCTACCGCTACTACGACTTACTACTAGCTACTACCACCACCACCACCACCACTACTACCACCTCCGCCACTACCACCCCTACCATCATTACCCCCACAACCACCAGCGCACAATTACTGGTGCAGCGACGACGATGCATCTAATCATTAGTGTCACTGTCTGCTACCAGTTTTTGAGACAGCTGCCACCAAGCCGACGACGACTTCGAATTGATGGAGCCTTTTCCCCGACTTCTGCCTCTGTCACGATTTTCACATCTTGTTGTTCTTGCTCTTGCTCAATCCTCTTTGCCTGCCAAGCAACATCGCTGTTCGAAGAAGATGCCAGGAGTCTTCAGGATGTTCTCTCCGTCTCCGTGCTGAGCACTGACAGCAAGGCTAACACGTGCTGCCATCTTGATACTTGTAGGCCGCCTTTGCAGGAAGCTGCTGCCTCTCATATTTTGCAACGGGTCAGAACCATGGTCACTTCATGCCGCATTCATCATCCAGCAGTTTGGGGAGTGTCGGACTGCCCTTATTCGCGCAGTTCAAGCCAGCCTTTTCTATGCCACCCTCTTTTGTCGGCAGGGCTTCGCCAAGCCCTTCAAGCCGCCCGATAACGTTCCGGCCCCAGCATCCCCTTCCTCCCGACCGAACCCCAAAAGGATCCTGAGCTTCGACAAAAGTCTCGGGCTTAGGCAGGTAGTCAGGTCGAAGCGATGGGATGTCGCTCTGAGGAGGCTCCAGATGATTCTGGCCTGGAATCCGACGCATTGGAGGCATTGCCAAGGCGGACCGGAAGGGGAATTCGGAGCACCGGGAGTACCGCAGAAGCTCCGACTGAAATTGCCTTCTCCCTCGTTTCGAGTGCATGATAGTGCATGCTTTGTGGTGCCGGTAGCTAGCAGCAGCTAGCGTAGCATCATGGACGGCAGGAAAGCCGAAAGCCGAGCCCCTCGCTCGTCTCGTTCGTCTCGCTCGGCCCGGAGCCTTGTGTGACTTGCAGAATTCTCGAAGACTCGTGCTCCCACTTGGCTCCTTCACTCGGCATTTTTGAGGCATCAAGGGAGCCTCCAAAACGTCAACCTCCGGAGCAAGCGGGCAGCGAGGCTGAGGCGGGAGGGCGTCTGCAAC